GAAGCAAGCAAAATTAGACAGTACTGCGATGACATTACAATTTAAATTCAACGTTTTAGCTTTTTCATATTCCTTTACATGTCACTACGTTTAAATAGGTTGACTTGGGACATTTTTTTCGTGGTTTTTATATTAGACCCGTCGTCCATTTATTTGTAAGTCAATGTAAATAATAGACAAAAAGAAGAGAGAATTGTTTTTTTTTTCAAATGCAAAGGCAGAGACAATGTCTTGTAACTCCAACATTTGTGTGAAAATAGATTTTACTGTTCTAAATTCTCTTTCAGGATGTGATACATCAGCAGCGGACCTCCTCGATGAGCCGGGAAAGGAAGCTAAACCAGAAATGACTGACATCAGCGATGATTGGGATTGGTGCGTTTTACTTAGTCTTAATACTTCTCGGCTGACAGATCGACGCTTCGGCTGTACCAACATATGACTTCCATTCCTAAGTTATATACATTTGTAAATATTTATCAAACCCTCTCGTTAATTGTGAAGGAAAACTTCATGATGACACCTGCGCAGAAGGTTCACAGACTTTTTTATGACACTAAGTGACGGAACGTACAAGTCGTGATACTGGCGGTAAATGACACGTTGATATCCATAACAGTTGCAGTTACACTCAGAGCTTTAAATCGCAAGGATCTGACGGGCACTGCCACCGTGCCCGTCACCCTGAGACATAATTTAACAACTCCCATACGCTTGTAATTTCACTAGCACAATTTCAAGGCGGCAGAAATAGGCAAGGTGGCAGTACTACCCTGGACGAACACTTTCACGAGAAGGATTCATAAAAGAAACTTTATTTTCGTTACGGCGTTTTTGAGAAGCAAAGTGATGAAAATATCTGTTGCAGTTCGTTCGAAGGCGGGTTCCCGGCTGGGGCCATGTCCCCCCCTCCCTCACCTTCGGATAGCTCCCCCCGCGCGCCGCTGGCCGCCGACGAGCTCCACCGCCGCTTCACGGACGAAACCTTGGTCATCAAACTGCATGACTTGGACGAACTTACTGTAAGCTCGAATGGATTTAGTTAAGTCCATTATTTATAATGTCTCAACGCTATTCGAGTGTAGGGTTGCCACTTATTATTTTTAGTTGTTTATAACTTAATTAAAAAAAAATATTTATTGGAGTTTTTTCGTGCCATTTTAGTCATTCTAATACCAGTATCTCGATTTTTATATAGAACCCGAAATACATTATTTGCAAATCGATACGACAACTTACGCGGAAGAGTAAGTTGTCGTAAGTCAAAATACCATTTTTTGCTTTTCAACCGACTTCAAAAAATAGAAAGTTCTCATTTCGACGACGACGATTTTGAACCGATTTAGATGATTATTTTTTGTCGGTAAGAGGTTATATGATTATACATCGATATATGATTATTGGTTCCATTTCAATTTGATGAAAATATTTCACCTCTAAAGGTGGCAAACTAGGGAATGAATCGGTATTAGCGCACTTATCGGTAATCGATTTGAATAAAACTTGGCAAATAGATGTAGAATACTCTCTACTGAGATTATTAACTTAAATGTATATTATGGATTCCATGTTTGAAAGTACACAAAGGGGTTTCTTTATTTTTGAATATGGAGGCTATAATATACTTAAAAAAAGATATATTTAATTTAAAAAGCAAAAAAAATTGTATTTTGACTTACAACAATGCCGGGGGCAGGCTGAAAATTAATTCGTGACTTTTGTCTAAATGTATTCCGAGACTGTCCTTCACACACAAATATTTACTTAATTTTATAGATCCTGTGTCCCCAACGCACGGTATCAAAACTCCACGTGCTACACCCGAGCAAGAACGCGACGCGATATTACATTGTCGTCGAACGAACGTCCAAGTACAACACTAGGAAGATTGTTGTTAGATCGCCATTGCAGGTAAGATGAACAATAAAATGTATCATAGAATAAGCAAGATACTTTTGAAATGGTTACATTTATGCCTCCGTGGGCGGACGGTTACCGTCCTGGTCTGCCGCGCAAAGGTCTAGGGTTCGATTCTCAGGTCGGGAGAAATATTTGTATGGCCTACATTTATTTCGAGTATAACGAGTAGGAAACTCTAGGGATTGCTCTGAATCTTTGCAATCTGTTTTATTATCCTTCGTCTCGCTCAGTTACGTGTAGAACACATAAGGCAGTCTCTTTTGCCCGCGCATGCCCTAAACTTTCGAATTTAATTCACAACCTAAATTTTAATTTTACGTAACTTACAACCTTTGCACGTTTTATAATTTTAATTAGTGATTACCCTTATCATAGAAATAACGACAAGACCAACGTCCGTGCTGGCCTTATTTGAATTTATTTTGTTATTTATTCATACAAAGGTCAGTAAGAAAAATTTCTTCGATCCGGCCGAACCAGTGCCTTCAGCGTACCGTGCCAGACGCTCTCTTAACTGAGCTACGAATTTTTCTATGTGCTTATTGCAGATCTTTGTATTTTTTCTTTCAATATTTTCTTGTCGTAGCGCCATCTGTGAGAAAACTATGAAAGCTTTTCTTCACTCAGCCAAGTACATTTGCAGCTACCAGCGGCTGATTTTTTGTACTCACTTCGCATTTCAGCCCTTTATGAACATTGTCCATTTGATCTGAAAACGTTTTTCGTGGTCTCTTATGTATTTCAATTGCGTGGTTCAATGTTGGGTCTATATATGTTTTTTGCTTCTCTGCTTTCATTCATCCGCTCCATGTCTAAATTAAAATGTAAAACAAATAAATATATATTATACAATAATGAGTATTGATCAAATTGCAGGTTCGCAACGAAACTTCCTACGCACTAGAGCTGTTCTACAAAAAAACCGATTTACAAGCTATAGGGGCCGACCTTATAGGCTCTCTAACAAATCCATTCGACGACAAGATGAGGTTAGCCGTCATCGCGCCACAGGACACATACAACGTGCCTTTGTACATTGCGTATCATTGCAAGCTGTTCTTATTGCCTTCAAATTTTGAGTGAGTATTTTTTAACGATGCAGTTATACCTTGGCCTATAAGTAGGTGAGGTATATAACAAATAAGATCCAGTATTAACAAATGTTAGTTGGAATAGTCTATCTATTCCTGATCGCGTGCGCCGCAATTTGGTCACTAGTGTCCAAAAAATTTGTACAGGTATTTGCGGTTGTTATGCGTATTATTTTAAATAAAGGCCTTAAATAGTTCTCGTACCTTATGACTTGGTCTACTACACGCAAGATGGGAAAGATCTCAATGAAGCCTTCAATATATTAACGGAAACACATTTTTCCCCATAATTTGCCTAACATTTAAATTTTATAATAGGTTCTACAGTCATGCCCGTGTAAAGATATTGTCTGTCTCACTGAACCATGTAGCCTGTGGCCGATCTTTCTCAAAATATGGAGGAAAATATATAATTATATATATGCCAATATAATTTGCCCAAGATTTTTTGTTCATCTTTTATAAATGCGTATCTTTTACAGGAGTTATCAAACAGCAACCCAAGGTATCTGGTGGATGGAGCTGGCCAACGACTTGGGCACTCCCCGCGATATGATTTGCCCTGCCAAGGTGGATGATGACAAGAGGATATTCGCCATGAGGATACTTACAGTTGAAGGTTACTACATTGCGTTAGGCTGTTTTTGGACTATGAGCATCTCCGTCATAATATTGTTCATGAGAGGCAAAGAATGTCGCTATCTATAATAGACATCTACCAGTCGAGTCATTGGGGAAACGGCTATATGGGACGGCTATCTAACAGCCGATTTCGGACTTTTTTGTAACGTTTATTTGTACCGCTAGCACAGATTACTTAATACATATATAACTCTCATACAAAACCAAAAATACCTTCGCTCTATTAGCTTAGTAAATCTGACTAATGACACTAGGCATGCACTACGAGGAAAAAAGAACCTAAGCACGCGCTTAGAGAATTGAAAATAACGTTGCCCGCCGTGTGCAGTCGTGCGGAGCCGAATACTCATAATTGAAAGACTTGTATGAGGGCTTGTACCGACGGCGGTACAGTCAGCAGTAGGCACTTGTCGACGATACGAGTATATCTGTCGCTCTAATTGTAAAGGGAAATGTATGGAAAAAGACCTAGCATCTCGTATTATATCTAAATATACGTTATGAACAAGAGATTTTTTGGTTGGATTTTGATGACGTCATTAAATCGCACGCATTCTATGCAAAATTAATAATCACTTTTTTCAATGGTAGAAGTCAAATCTGAGCAAATTTTTAAAAAGCCTTGGACATGTTTAGCCCAAGTTAAAGTTACAAACTTCACAGGTCTTTGAAATGATTTTTGAATTTTTACATGTCTAGGATTGTTTCCTTCTAAAGTTTTTTAAGCAAGTATTTTTTTGAACAGTGTAAAGGGTCCTGAATGGAAAGGGTGCTCATTCCTTGGCTTAAGATTAATTTTAATTCGTGGCTCAATTATCCGCAGGCTGTCAATCTCATAAAGTCACTCGAGCAATACCAAATTACCTGATCCGTGTTGTGCCACCTCTTGCGATCTACAACCGGCTTCCCTACGCCATGGAGTTGTCCTGCGCAGCGCTCGACTGGCGGACGCGCATTGAAGCGGGGGAGAGAACCCACACGTATACTTTGGAGTTGAACAAGGCGCATAGATTGACGCTCGACATACAGTACATGGGATTGCCTTGGACTGGAAGTTTTACTCTTTCTCCTGGTAAGTCTTTTCGGGGGAAGATTGCAATGACTGAATACATAAATGTTTTATGGTTTCAAGAACAGATATATTAGTAATCTTTATCGAACATTTTGAGAGAGAGGGATAGCGATCGATACCTCCAGTGTACAGTACGCCAAGTTAATTTTTTGGTCATATTCCGTTATTTTTGTAAACAGTCATATTTATTTTCTAATATTATGCTCCCCGAATTTCGTTAAAAAAAGTAAAGAAAAAAATTGAAAAAAGAAACAAAAAAAAATTTTGTGAAAAAAAAAAAGAACCATAAAACAAAATTGGAATAGAACAGGTCCAAAAATTAAGTTGATGTTTTTTGAAGGTATCAAAATAATACCATTATTTCCTACTTCTCGGGCATATTTTTTCTCGTTTGGCGCATCGTTCTTTCTTATACCACGTTTGTTTGCTACTCCTCGAAAATCCGACATTTAAAAATAGTAATTTAGAAAGTAGGAGTTAATACGCAGTGTTTTCAACCAGACGTGACCGAGAAGAACATAAGCATGGCAACGGAGATGGAAACCGACGGCGGCAACAAGCAGCTAGGCGTCTGCGCGCGCGTCGATCGCGCCGACTGCTGGAGCCTGCACCTGCACGCCGCGTACTGGCTCATCAACAAGACCGGGCTGCCGCTGCAAATGAAGGTGCGCCGGCCGCTTTCCGCCCCGAGCGGCGGCGGAGGCAGCACTGACGCTCTGACGCTCGTCCGCAGGCCGGCCACGCGGACACGTGCTACGAGGTGACGGACGAGCCGCTGCTGTGGAGCGCGGCGCGCGGGCGCGGGGCGCGCGCGGCCAAGCTGCGCCTGCGCGCGCACCACTCGGCGTGGTCCCGCGCCGTGCGCCCCGCAGCCGCCGCGCCGGGGCTGGTCGTGTGCGCGCACACCGAGCGCCGCACGCACTACCGGCTGCTCTTCAACGTCAGTGCAACGGCGGGCCAACGGCGACGCCCACAGCGCTCGACCCTCCGTCCTCTTCGAAGGGGACGGAGGGTCGAGCGCACACGCGCGATCGCATCGCAAATGTCTCAGCATTACTGTGTTCCGGGTTTGAAGGGCAAAGATGCTAGTCAAATTACAGGCACGTGGTGGCAGTGCCCTTCAGGTCTTTGCAATTTAAAGCTCTGAGTGGCACTGTAACTGTTATAGACAGGCGTGTAGCTTACAACCAGGTGCACGACTTGTCCGTCCTGTCGTTTGATGTTATAAAAAAAGATGTATCGCTGTTGAAAATCGCCGTGTGTAACCGCTCTTTCCGGAGATGTGAACCTCCTTTGCTACCGAACGGTCACAGTCTACGTAAAACATAGAAATATAATAAATTTCCCCCACAGGTTACTCTGTCCGAACTATGTCCACAACTGACGAAAATTGTCACCATTCTTCCATACTTCCTCGTTTACAATGACACTCGCCGCCATTTGCGTTTTATGGAGGAGAACGAAGCGGCTGATCTCTGGATAGACCTGGCTCCGCAGCAATGTACGCCTTTCTGGCCGCAAACGGACTCTATGGCTATGCACTGCAAATATCGGGATTCGAGTGTTGTGTCTCAGCATTTCCCTATTACGAAGAATCATTTCACTGTATTGAGGATGGATAAAGGGGTGAGTATAGCTATTGTTATTGTGCCATATCACATGCTCCTTTTTAACCCATGTTGCATCGCAAAATGTATCAACATAAATATTTTCTCTTTGAGTAAAATGGTTCAATTATATAATATTATTTGCTCCTTTTGTAATATTCTACAGTTGTATTGTAACAAATCACTACGCATTTTTTTTAAATGCCAAAAGCGAATAAGTGTCGAAAGTGTTACAAACCGCTAGGTGGTGCTGGTAAGATATCATGGTCTAGGGACTCGAGATTCGTGGTACTGTAAGTGTGGTTTTAACTCTATGGTTGGGGTGCGTTCGTTTCGAGAAAAACTAGTTTACCATCTATTAGTGTATACCATAGATTTAGTATATAGGTACCTATAGATTGGCAATGCAAGTGAAAGAGCGTTAGTATACACGTATGTTAGAGCGAGATGGGTAGACGAGACCACTTCATTATACGCTATGAGCCTGTATGAACCTAGGGTCAGCTGACAACGAAACAAATTTCTTTTATTTTTGAAAAATAATTGGTTTTAAAATGTGAAAGTGTTAAACGGACGTTTATTAGTCATGGTAACGTGTTCAGTGCCCGGATGTAACTCATCTAAAAAGGAAAACTCGATGAATTGTACATTTCACATGTAAGTACTATTTAAATTTTTAGCTGTCTAAAAGCACTACCACAAAAGTTTTTTACATAAATATATCCGTAAAATTATACCATTCAAGTGCATTAATAACCCAAATGTATATGAATTCAATTAAAAAATATATCAAATACGTGAATTTGTGAAATTCATAACCCCACTTTCATAGAGATTGACGATCGATAATAATAATATGTTATCGAGATGTCATTAACTGCAAAAAAAGAAAGGCAAAGGCGTGGCTTGCATACAGCCGAAATCATCTTCATACTTAATATTATTGAATCAGAAATTTCTGGTTTTAGTACTTTATATTTAATTAATATTACATTAGTGCATTATTTTTTGTCTACATTAAAACGAAAATTTCTTTTAATAGCGTAGTTGAGGCATCCTTTCTTTTTTATCTTAATTATTGTTTATGATTCAGTATTCCTCAAAACATTGAAGTACGATAGAAATGGCTTATAATGCTAAAGAGAGAAGACTGGGTTCCCAAAAAGTTTTCAAAAATATGCAGCAAACACTTTGAGGAAAAATGCTTTTCCTTTAGAGGCAAGATACGAGTAAAGCTACGTTCTGGTTCTGTACCCACATTATTCATGCCGTATGTTTTACAATTAATGGATTTTTGTGTAGTACTACTCTCATCAACAACAAATCAGCAATTTGTTGTTTATAGAGTTCTGTTCTGTTCCGAAATACGATACTCATATCATTCACTTGTGTGTCCACCTGTCCGTCTGTCACAGTCAATTTACTCCATACCTACTGGGCTGATTATTTTGAAATTTGGTACACATATGCATTTGTGTGACCAAAACGTGTAACGTAAATAAATTAATTCTGAATTTGAAGTCACTATTGGGAGGGAAAGTTCTCAAGATATATTTTTTGTAATTTTGAAATATAAATATTTTTAAGCTGTTTAAGAAAATAGACTAAAATTGATCATTCTCCCCTTTATCTTCGAAATTACTGAGCCTAAAGTTTTGAAAAAAATACAGAAATTGTCTTTAAATCTCTCATTTTAGTGCGAATAAACCTATATTTGCTGTTGGAATCTATTGGAGAACATATTCTTCAACTACAATGTTCAGTTTGTACGGAAACCTCTCAGCGCGAGTTCAACTCGCACTAGGCCGGTTTTTTGGTTCTATTACTTATCTCCAAATTCATTGCTGTGATGCACTTCTATGTCATCATATCATACAATAATTATAATAGTTATATTCGTTTGTAGGTTTCGGTCGTCAGCTTGGTTCGTGGAGACCATACTATCGCATCGTAACTGATCATGGGTCTTATCACCGTTTTGTAGAGCCATATTGTTATATTGGGTGAAAGTCCCCATTGTTTACCTACCATCCTATGGCACTGCCAGAAGGTGATAGTAGCTTTCTTAATTTTGTATTGAACCATTAATTAATTAGTTAATAAACGTCTCGGCGTTTTGTGATAAGACATTTTGGAGAATACGACGAAGTGAAATGCCGGTGTAATATGTTAATCGATATTAAAGTTAAATCAGTGGATGGCGCAACACTATTTATCTTGCACACATGCACATTATACGCACACTCTCTCTCTAATCTCTCGTCTCCAATACTTCAGGGCCAATCTATGGATATACTAAACCTATGGTGTATACATATACAAGGTTATTTGTAAGATGCCAATTTCGCAGGAATTTATTTAATGACATCATAAACAATAACTTTTGATGAAACGTAATAAATTTACCAAAAATAAGCGTTTACGTTTTTGTTGTACTGACACTTTTTTTTCACTTTTTATTTTTTTAGATTTATCTGATAGTACGGTAGCAAGTTTAAACTATAGATATAATACTGCGTTTAGACGCCCAAGCGTCCTTCCCGAGGACGCTCACTCCTGCATTTCGCAGAGTTATCACCGCTTAAAGTTATTTAAATATTTTTATTTCTATATGTAAGTAAAATGTGAAAAATTGTATTGAAACACATAAAACATAACGTTTTTTTATAAAAAAAGCAAAATTTTATTGAAATCGGTTACGGAAAGTGCGCGAAACCGGTTTCATCCCCTAGTTTACCACCCTTAGAGGCGGAATATTTTCATCAAATTTAAATGGGACCGATACTAAAGTACCCTCTTTCCAACAAAAAAAGAATCATTAAAATCGGTTCACAAATTATCGCGTTTCTCACAATTTGGTGTTCTCAGCCTAACCGTTATCCTTTTTTTCTTGCTTATTTATACCCAATAACATTGAAATATGACGAACTTTAATCTAAACTATTAAAATGTCTAAATGGCATTAGAATAGTCAAAGTAGTTTCCGAGTTATTAAGACACGGATATTTTATGCCAACGGTAATTAGACGACATAGAAATAATTTTCATTTCGATTTTCAACACTTTCTGTAATTAATTACACCGAAACAAGCTTTCTTATTTTTTTTAACTTAAGGTTTTTTGCTGCCTAATTTACCGGAGGCTGCCCAAGCGAGCTGTATACGTCAGTCTATTTCTTCGTCCAATGATTCCCTGCCGAGTTTTATTTTTATGACAGACGTAGACGTAATCCTCTATTTTCTCGATCAACCTGTTTCCCACGAATATGTCCTCTGATGCACCGACACCCTTCATCTGAAGATGCTCGGCTGAGGTCATTGAGCGTTCAATTGAGGTAATTGAGGACGACAAATTTTAGGTAATGGAGATATTGCCCGTTCACATTTAAGCCTAGACCATTCCAATCATATTCCAACCGAGTGTTTTGAAGACATCTTCTAGTGCGTTAGTAAATGAGTAGCTTCGAAGATATAACATCACCTCTACACCTATACCTATTAGTATTGGAATAATCGTTAACTGTGCTGATGACGTACTGTTATCGTGACTGTTTTATATAGATTTTTTGGTAGGGATATACTCATAGCCCTAGTGAGACCAGCGGGCTCTGGACAGGGACTCCAGAGCCTGCATTGCACGGCTTCACTCGTCTGGGGGCGGGTCGGAGGACAACCGACTCGTCCCTCCGTTGGCGCGGGAGCCCTGGCGCAAGCTGCCCTAGCTAGGCCGGGCGGCGTCGTGGTGAATGCTCACTGATCCCACGGCGCCGACTCAATCGGCGAGAAGGAAACCCGGGGAGGTTTTAGTGGGGTAGGCCTTCCAGTGTGGAGGGAGAGTCCGCACATAACCCCTGAGTCTCCCTGGGCTCAGGGGTATCCATAAAGATTTACCCCCGGTCAAAAAAAAAAGGGATATACTCATAGTCTATTCTGCATTGCTGAAGAATAATATAAAACATAATAACTCAGCTGTATAAAAAAAAAGACGTGGACAGTGGTGTCAACAAATCCAGGCAAGCACAGGATTTCGAATCGTCGTCCAAGAGACGACTTCGTCGTATTTGTGGACTTCCTGGAAGAAGTACATGGCAGACAACCTTTGTTTTTTGTGGTTTTTTAAGAGCACGCTGGAACCGCGATGAATTTACTATCCGTCGAGTATCGCGAATTTATTGGGGACAGACATTTCAAGGGATCTCGTATATTGTGCCATTCAATTGTTAATTCTTTTCAGTTGTTGACATTTTGTCTTCTAGCTTTTATACCATGCTTTGAAATTAATTCTGTTTTGTGTTCGATTTTCTTTATGATTATTAACAGTCATTTCCCAAACTGGTAACAACTACTTTTCTTTACTCATATTTCTTTTTCCTTCTGTTTCGATCGCTGATATAAAATTGAATTGTTTTTGTAACGTTATCACCGCTGATGCGCCTTATTTTGCGATTAATTTTTTTTTGTTTTCCCAATGTGTTGAAGAAATATTGTTAATTGCTTTTATTATTTAATAAGGTCTAATTATCTAGAGATCTAATTGTCTGGTTTGTATCATAATATGTTTGTATATGCTTAAATACTGCCACGAAATAGTATGTAATATTAAAACTCTACAACATTTTCGTACTATGGTAATTAGAAAACCTACGGCAATTTATACTGCGGTACTTAGAACACGGACCATTTCCTTAAAAATTTCAAAAATTGGAAGAGATTGAAAATACTCGAAAATCGTAATACATAAAGGTCTCTTTTATTTCGATAAGCGGCAGCACATTTCTTTCAAAAATTTAATTTATAAATAGTGAAAACGGGAATTACAAAATTTGAAAACCAAAGGTACAGTAATTAGATATTTATATAAACTGCGAGCGGATACGTCGACACTGGTATATACGCACCATTCAAGCGCCATGACACGGTTGATAGCTCGCGATTTACTCAATAGTGAATTTCAAATATTTAGTGGTTTAGGGGTGAGCACGTTGAAAATGAATGGCGATGGTAATTATACCTTCAGGCCGGACACTCCGAAATATGATGGTAGATTTTAAAAGAATGGTCGTCATGGATTGTATTTTTATGTTATTACATGAACAGTGTTTCTCCAACCAGGACCTTAAATGGCACTGGTGTAATTCATTCCGGACTTAAATGAGAAGTAAATTTGCAGACAAAGGTAGCGTCCGGACAGGCTACGGTAATTGAAGAACAAGGGTTTGAAAAATAAAATAAGTATGAGAATTAAGTAGCAGAGCTAAAATCTTAAAAATGCCTTTAGATAAAAGTATAAACAACGTAAAAAAAATTGTGGTTCTTTATATTGTTATACGGCAGGAGAGGCCCGCACGTGAAAAAAAAAATATCGCATATATGCATGTTGCATATAAAAAAATACAGTTCAATTGAGAACCTCCTATTTTTGAAGTCGGTTAAAAAGTACTTGTGTTGATGTTAGTAAAAATAGTCTTGCGTGGTTGTTAGTATTTTATATAAACGCTGTATATGGTAATATACAAGATCATTGTATACGGTGTAGATGTAATAAAATTCCAAATCATATATATCACACCTTATATTTATTAAAGCAACATTTTCCTATAATCATAATACATAAATTATTATTTGCTAGTTCATTACTATTCTTATAAAACAACATTTTAAATAATACTTTGAGCAATTACACTAATCTTCGCCCGTCCATTACTTATGCTACAAATCTTCTAAAATCGTCTATCATAAGTTACCTACCACCTAAACAGCATAAACTCAATTCTGACAGTTCTAATGTCCTTGTTTCTTTGGTAAAGGCAACTCTAGACTCAATGTTCCATCATCATGCAGAGTATACGCAGTGCCTTTAGACTTATGCGTCCAAATTTTGACAGCTTTAAGATGCGCGTCGCTATGTTCTTTTCCTGTGGCATCAGGCGGCGCGTATTCAATTTCAGGGTATTTCTGTGATGCTGATAATGAGGAGGAGGATGATGATAATTGAAGGACTGGTGATTTTTGTCTGGTTGTTGTTACCTGGAAAGATAAATAAAAGCTGAGTAAAAAAGTTAGAGTCAATTTGCAGAATTCATTCATTCTTTGCTTGAGATAGACAGATTATCTTTGGTTATTTATTACTCAAGATAAACACTAAATCATTCAACTTCAACTTCAACTTTTATGTCTATGGCTCCGTCGTTTTGCGCGACGATTTTGCCAATGTCAGGGTTGAGAGACATGTGTAGCGGTAGTGAGACAGATTGCCGGTTATTAAAATACTTCGTCAATTGTTTCACTTGAGCTTTGCTATAATGGACGAAAATTTAAAAAAATCATATTTAATATTTAATTACCGATGAAATGATTGTTTGTTTTTTAATTCCTACACCACCAAATGGAACAGCCCCATTGTTAGAGATATTATCTTTATCATAATAAATACAGAATATTTTTGGAATATACGGAGACGTACACATACTCGTAGGTCAGTTGTTGGCGTTGTACTATGTCAGCTTTCTAATTTGTGATTTCAGCGCAAACGAGAGTTGATATTTAAAAGTTATATAGGACCCATTTAACTGAAGAGTTGCCAGGGATGGATGGCCCTTGTTTCGTCTCTGTTTCTGATTATATACTCGATCCATCTAAATAAGTGCCTAACACATCCACTTGTGATGCAAAAGTGACCTTTTACTGTTACAATATGGTACAATTATTATTTTATTTGTATAATATGGCATTTTTCGTAGCTGTGCCTCGTGGCTAACTATGAGATATATACAAGATGTGATGGGATATATACAAGATGTAGAAGATGTCTATGAAGTTGGTGCCGAATCTTAAAAGTGTCATTCGGGATTATTCTGAACTGTTGAACTACTTTTTAAAATGTTTTTCGTACCTCCATTGTGTGAATTTAACTCGAATTCCTTGTGAAAATTTTTGAGCAGGTATAGAAAAAAAACACAAGTTTTCAAATTGCCTTCCAATAAATACGTTTTAAAATATATAAATGACATTTCTAAATCAATTAACGACCCTATGATATTGTTTGCGGATGATTGTACGGTAATTTATGACAATGAAACAAATATAAATACATGTTTGAACTCTATTATTGAATGGCTTAAATATAATGATCTAGTTATTAATCTTGACAAAACTAAAGTTATGAACTTTAAACAAAGATACAATAAACCTATGCAAACTAGAGTGGTCTATGAAAGCAAGGAGGTCGGTGAAACAATGACAGTAAAGTTCTTAGGTTTATATATAGATAATAATCTAAAATGGCAAACCCACCTAGAATATGTATGTGGTAAGATACTAAAGTTTTCTTATACATTGTTTAGGCTATCGAAAATAGTAAATTTAGACGCTCTAGTGACCGCCTACAATAGTTATGTAGCATCCAACCTTAGGTATGGAATCATTTTTTGGGGAAATGCACCACACATTGAACGCATATTCAAAGCCCAAAAGAGATGTATTCGGGCTATATGCGGCTTGAAAAAAGAGATAGCTGTCAACCACATTTTAAAAATTTGAAAATACTGACTCTACCATGCTTATATATATTTGAAATTTCACTTTTCGTAAAGCGTCATCTTCATTTATTTGAATTCGTCACACGAGCCCGCCGTTCTCATCAACTGAAAAGTAGATCATGTAAAACTGCTCTACTTCAAAAGAGTGTAATAGTAATGGCTACGAAGGTTTATAACAAACTTCCACTTGAAATTAGGAATTGCAACGATTGTGCAGAATTTAAGAAATTATTATTTAATTACCTAAATGATTGGACATTCTATAATATTGAAGATTTCTTATAAAATTTACATTTCATATTATTAAATTTGTTATTGACTATTTTACTATTGTTATTATGTTTCATTAGTAATAGGTTGCATTAATTGGACTGCATGATTATAATATTATTACAAATTATTGCATGAGAATTACTAAAACTAAGAAAACTTTGTATGCCATAAGGCGGATCACAGTGATTCAAAATTCATTCTTGTAACAACTTTATAACCTGTGTATCACAAAGAAATAAATGATTTGATTTGATTTGATTTGAAATATCATCATCTAATATCAACCTATTATATGTCCCACTGCTGGGCACGGGTCTCATCTAAGGCAAGGGTTTAGTTAGGCCATAGCTCGCCATGCTGGCCTAACGTTGGTTGGGGACCTTACACATTTTTTCCGAGGGTTATGTAACTTCTTCGACATGTACGTAGTTTTAGTAGCAAACTCCTTGTGAAAGAGTTTGTCCAGGGAAGTGCTGCCACCTTACCTATTTCTTTACTCATGGTAAATTTCGCACATAAATTCCAAGGTGTCAGACCTGATCCGAACCCACTGCTTCTGCTGGAGAGACGTTAAGTCAAACCACTAAGCTGCTGCTACTTCGTGAAGTATAGAAAATAGATTTCTTCAATGTTGGCATCTACTTTAAAGCCTTTGGTCCATCTTCGTAACTGTTTTTCATAACTAGTTACGAAAGAAGATTTTTCCCTCACTGTTTCGTAACCAGTTATTAAAAAGGAATATTTTGGTCCATCTTCGTAACTGTTTTTCATAACTAGTTACGAAAGAAGATTTTTCCTTCACTGTTTCGTAACCAGTTATTAAAAAGGAATATTTAATCCGTATTCAAAACTCCAGTTACGAAAACGTATGCAAATTTGTTCTTTCCATAACCAGTTACGAAAAAGGCTTACTTTTTTCTCTTTTTGTAAACAATACCTATGAAGAAATTGATAATGAGATCGCTTTAGCAATAGAAGATTTGGAAAAAAAAATCACTGTGGGCCATTGTTTAGAAATAAATCGTAACTAGTTATGAAAAACAGTTACGAAGATGGACCAAAGGACTTTAAAGGACCTTTAAAGCCATCCAGCATTTAAAAGGGTTCATATAAAATTTGTCTGGCGATGAAGGGAAAACTTGAAAATTTTACAGTGCGTCACACATTGTGGGAGACAAAACCTGTTGGTCACTTGTTACACGTAACAGTCTTGATTGACCGTATCAGAAGACTTAACGCTGGACATAAAGCAGAATTTACCTATACCAACCAAATAGTAGTACTTACAGTGTAATGAGGCACGTTATAAGAACTGACTGTATGAAGTTTGGAGTTGTGGTAATTCATCAACGGTAAATTTCCAAAGTTTTTCACCTCGTAAGTAGAATCTGGTTTGACTATTGCAGGAACATGGTTGGTATGCGATATTACTAGTTCCTCCTCTCTTAAATTCGTCGGTTTGGGAAGTTCTTCCTCCTTTATCATTGAACTATCAGTGAATATGTGGCCGTCTCTTGTTAACATTTCGTTAAACTTTTGTACCGTGTTAAAATAGTCTTTCAATTCATTAATGTCTAAATCAGTGTCAGTAACATCTTGTGGGTTTGAAAATTTGTTCGGTATCTGATTTTCAGAGTTGATATACATTATCTTTGATGAATCTTTCATATAATTTATTTTAGGAATTATGCCTTGGTAGTTCATTTGTTGACTAACAAATTCTTTATTTGGCGGAGGTTTTCTATAAATTATTTTTGGTTGCGTTGATTCTTTCACATAATTATGACTCCAATCACCTTGAAAATTTGGATTAAAAACGTCTGCATCGATTTTTTTTACATCAGCCTTAAATATATCACTTCCAGGCCTCGTTCTTTCATCTCTCTCATTCTTTTTATACCTGTCTATATATTTTTCCTTTTCTGCCATCTCAATAAGTTTATCTAAGTCATTCTGAGACATATATTTGACAATGTTATTGATGTCTTCTTCTGACATACGTTCAGTAGGTGTTTTACTTACCCTGGGCGGTTTAAACAGAGGTATTTGCTTTTCGTCGTCTATCACATAATTCGGTGGTGGAGTGTACGGGAATAATCCTCTGATAGGCTCAACCACAGGTAGCCTGTAGGACCTTTGAGGTGGGTAAGAATATTTTACTCTTTTTATTCTCACGTAATCGGATGTACTACAGTTAATGCAGTTGGTGCTTTCACAGTTTATATTTATTATTACGGCACATAGCACTAAAGTTAGCAAAACTATAGTTAACCCCATGTTTACGGTTATTTTTAACTTTAACTGTTATTATCGTCACAAAATGGACGACATCGTGCCCAGCGCATATGAGAGTGTTTCACCGACTGATAAGAAATGAAACTTGCAGGAAGGTTTATAGACGCGAGAAAGCTGTCAATTGAGTTAGAGCCTAAACGTAGCCGGCACTTGTGACGATTGTTGCGTAATGATGTTTCATAGTGTTATTCCAACTTTCAACATTTAGGAATATTTATATACAATTGTGTAGTATTATATATTTATGTGCGAAACGTGTTAAAAGTTACTTTGTTAACTATTTTCCACTTCCGAGTGTTCTCATATTGGGTTTTTTATGTGTGCCAACTTTTAGGTCACAATTTAAAATCTACTTTATAAAAATGAACCAAGTTTGTTCAATGATAATCAACGTTTATTTACTATACCCCTTACAAAAAATGTATCGCAAAATAACCCTCTGTATAGGATGCTTAGGTATTACAACGAAATATGTTCTGATTGCGATATTTTTAAATGCGGTGTCGCTACTTTTAAGAGGTCACTTCTTGCATTTTCGTAAGTGGTTTCTCTTTGTTTTGTTTTTGTATAATAATAATTAATCTAGCGTCCGTTTAAGTATTTTTGAATGTTGAGAACAGTTATAATTGGGCACAAATATGCCTGCTTTATTAATTTTTAAGTGTTTTTTTCCTATATTGTTTGTGTCTGATGTTTGTTAATGTGCCATAAATAAAAAATAAAAATAAAAGAGAGGAATTTCCGAAACCGACAAATTTAAGGAAGAGGAACAAGTAATATCGGAGACAAACAATGTTATCAGTAACAGCGTGGCGTGCTAGTAACAGCTTCAATATATTGTCCAAGCAGGTTCATATTGACCTTTTGAACCTACTTCAAAAGAGGAGTAGGTTCTCAATCGACAGTATGTTTTTTTTTAAACCGATTATGATTTTTGTTGGAAGAAGATACCTCAATAGTGGCCCCGTTTAAATTTCTAAAAAATATTCCACATTTAGGGGACGAATGACTTTTGAGGTCGGTTGTTTTAGTACTCTGTATTGGGATTATTAACATTAGTGTTGTACCGGTAAAGCATCTCATGAATAGTTTTTTGGGGAATTTATCGTTTTCCTAACGAACAATAAAACGGCATCGTGAATTCATAAATTATATTATATGATCGAGTTCTTAGGTTTTCGCGATTGTTACATATAGGAAATGAAACTATTTTTTCGGATTTAAATCGCCTATATTTGTTTTTTCAAACAAACCGATCGGATTCCGAAATCCGGAAAAATAGTTTCATTTCCTATATAGTATATGATTTTATCAATTAATTTTTAATAAACAGTTCAAACAATTTCCAATTGCTGACATGTGACAGTTCCCGTAATTAAAAAACTATCGAATATTTTTGGCAAGTGTAACACTCTTTATGGCGACTCTCGTCCAAAGAGACTGCCACAGCGAGCCGGTGTTAATAGGCGGCGTCTAACCGCCACAGTTTGTTTTTTTTGGCGAGTAGGAAATTACAAAGTGTTGCGAATTTGTCGTAGTATATTATAGTTACTAGTGATATAATTTTAATTCAATGCTCAATGTGTGTCTATCAGTCAGGACCTATAGTTGGCTCTCCGTTGTTATTTAAGTTTTATTCTGTAAGATAGCCGTTGGTCTTAAAATAAATTAAATAATAATCTTATTGACAGATACGCTTACTTATTTATTATCTTCTTGGCCAGCAGATTAAGCTCCGTTGCATACGCAGTCCGTAGAATAGGTACGCGAGCTTACCGATGTTGATACTGCTAGAATTGTTTACTATACTTACTTCCATAGTATAATGGCCTACGGGATTCTCATGTGGGGCAGATATACATATTTGTGTTGCAAAAACGAGCGATTCGTTCTGTCTACCGTTTAGGTTCTCGGGTTTCACTCTAAGAAAAGTTTAAGGATTCGGGTATCATGACTGTGGCATCACAGTATATTTATTCAAATATTTTGTATGCCCGTAAAAATATACATAATATCATTAAGAGAGAAGATATCCGTAGAGATATAATATTAACTTTAGAACTAAGCCCAATCTCATATTGTACCACGATACCGTTTAACTAAGGTAAACTATTATTTTATGAGAACTGTATACCATTTTACAATAAGATTCCGAAGCATATTATATTAATATGATCATTTCCTAAGTTTAAAACTTACATTAAAAGTATTTTAATTGAAAGTTCATATTACAAAATTGAAGACTACGTGTTACTATAGTGTATTCCATAGTTTTTAAGTTTTTTTGAAAAGAGCAATCCCTAGAGTTTCTTGCTCATTCTTCTCAGGGAAGTGAGCTTAGTAAACGAGCAGTAGCCTAAAAAAGTAGTGTAAACTTATTTTACCTATGGAATAAATGAATCTTTGACTTTGGTTAAATAAAACATTTAATTTAGAAAACACAAATCCATTTGTTCCAGTCAGCAATATGCGTGGAAGTAACTGGCGGTACAGACCGTCCGTTCACGATCACGTTCAAGCCGTTCACATCCGGCGACGCCCCGGTCCGGATCGACAACCTCTGCGACGATTTGTTCCTGAAGCTGCAGCAAGCCGACTCCGGTCAGGCCACGCTGCTCAGTCCTTATCAGTGCGTGCTTTACACTTGGGATGATCCTGCAAAAGAACGGAAGCTGCTTTGGAATATTTATAACAATAAGGGGAAAGGCTTTGAAGCACATTTTGAGCAGGATGGGTAAGTTATTATCGCCAATATATTTCACTGGTTGATTGGGGTTTCCTTTAATGACAAAGTATAATAGTCCGCCGTGTTGGCTCAGTACGAGTTGGGCCACGCGTTTTCCAAAGGTTATGAAACTTCGATATCCAGGTATCGTCGTGATGTTTTCGTACATCACCGTTACCAAGAGGTATTGCCGTCGCCGCTGGGAGTCGAACCACCCACTTTTCAATTGAGACGCTTACTAGCTTTTAACAAAAAACGAACAGTAAAATAAATAAAAGCGGCGAAAAAGCTAAGCCCGTATTATAAAATCACTAGATGCTTTGTATTATTTGGTCTAGAGTAACAAGAGTACATACCCAGAAAACCTAGAGTCAAATAATTTCAATATCCTATCGTTTCAAACATTAAAAATATTTATCAATATCTTTGAAATATAAAATACATGTAATTCTTAGACTATGGAAACCAAAGGACATGTTATTGTAATGTTGACATATATAAATCAGACGTTATATGTATATGATGCATTTCGACGTTGAAAACATAAATGTGTTATTGTCTTTGTTTAACTACTGCGGGATTCTACGGGATTCGAAAATACGTAACGTGGAGTATATGGAGTATAGATTCAAGCCATACGACTCCATATTTTTCGATGATTGTGGTACAACATTAAAATCCGCCATTTGGGGTGTACAATTTTGATTTAGACAGCCACGTTTATTCCGTAGATAGGGCAGCACCTTTCCTCAATTTTTTTCCATCCTCTAAGATGTAATTATACAATTTCAGTTGGTGTTAAAAAGCATTGACTTACAAATAAATGGACGACGGGTCTAATACACAAACCACGAAAAAAATGTCCCAAGTCAACCTATTTAAACGTAGTGACATGTAAAGGAATATGAAAAAGCTAAAACGTTGAATTTAAATTGTAATGTCATTGCAGTACTGTCTAATTTTGCTTGCTTCGCTGTCAGTCGAACAAACGAAGACTAAAGCGTGAATGACGCTCTGTATACGATTTTAGCGCCCTATAAGTTCGGACACTTTTTAGCGCGGACCCGACGTCCATATAATTGTAAGTCAACGGTGTTAAGCAATGAAGTGTCCGATAAGGTACACGCGTTTGTTAATAAAAATGCTAACTACACTATTGCCTTGAATAGCCCTTACATTGTACTTTTTGTATTCAATAGCTTTGCCGTTTGCGCTTCCTGGATTTCCGTCTATAATAATAGTAATGGAATAGTGCAACGAAATTAACTCCTGGGCATTTCCCAGAACACTCGAACTAAAATTAATTTAGATAAGTTATTTACTGAGAATTGAACCCGGGATCACCTTATCCAGCACACACTATGCAATATATTGTGCCACCGGAGTCGTCTGTACTAGTAGAAAAATTAAACCCTTATACAACAAGCATTTACCTAATGAATATAACTTAATGCTTGCGTTAGGTACTAGAGTCATGAATTATTCAATAAAATGAAAAAAGAAAAAAAAATTGACTCTGAGTTTATTCTTGAGTGCATTTACATACAATCGAACAAGTCTAATTTGTTATCATGTGATGTAACTGGTAATGGTCATTGACCTATTTGCTTTTCAGTTTCGGCGAAGAAAAAGTGACATTTCACTCCGTTAAACAAACCACACTAGTTGCAACAAGCAGCGTCACGTCAAAACTCTCCTCGACTCTCAAACGACTCACACCAAAGTCTCCTGAGCCCTGTACTTCCAGCAGCGACGATTCCGACAGCTCACAACTTCCAGAAAACCATAGCAAGACAAAAAAGTTACGAAAGGACAAAGTCATTGTATACTGGATATCTTATATGGATGGGTATCAAAGAGTCTTCGCGCTAGCTCAAGATGAGACGATCGCATATCAGTACAGAATGAGAATTAACTCAGAGAGAAGTAATTATGAGGTGTACATGTCTCTGTCAGGTGTTAGTTTGTCTGTCTGTGTACAAACTAACGTTGGTATCAAAGAGTTAGCCTACATGAGCGTGACGGACTCCTTGCCAAGATGGGAAGTCAATGTCAGTCTCAAATGGAAGCAGTTGTCACAGGAATTGACGTCATGGATCGAAGAGAAGTACCAAAAAGAAGAAAAGAAGTGCCAATTAAAAGAATATTTACATATTGATTTAGAAAAAATGCAAATGACCAAACCGTTTTTCTCTGAACTACGAAGGACGTACAACCCTGGCGTATGGTTGCAGCTGCGAAAGTCCGATACGTACACGTATTGCCATTTGAAGTTGCAAAGACTGCAGATTGACAATCAGTTGAACGAAGCTGTATTCCCGAGTGTACTATACCCGGCCCCGTTGCCCCCGAATGCAAGATCAAACCGAGACGTGAAACCTTGTATAGAAATTGTCGCTTTGAAACAACATATACCAACTTTAAACCAGGACGTATACAAATACCTGAAAGTTCTCATTCAAGAGTTCTGTGTTAACTTGGATCGAGGTTTTGTTAACTACGTCTTTGACATATTGAACCATTGGAAGATTGAAGAAAAACCAGCAGTTCGTCTCAGGGCTGACTTGGCGTTGGTTCACATGCCTTTGCCAATTATAGCTATAAAAAGTCAAATGGTAGCTAAAAGAAACGTCCTATTGGAGTACGTACATCTTTCTCCAGTTAAAGTGGTGTTAAGTTTGTCATCAAGGGGCTACTCTGCAGATGTGAACAGCCCCAGTCGAAGCAGGTTCGGGAACAAAAGAGAGAATCGGCCTAAATTGTTTAATAGTGATTTGTTAGAGTACCTATTCAACTCGTGGGGATCATCGCTTTGTGATATGAAGGATGTTGTTATTCGGTAAGTAATCTTGCATTATACCCATTGACTTACAAATAAATGGACGACGGGTCTAATACAAAAACCACGAAAAAAATGTCCCAAGTCAACCTATTCGAAATTTAAATTGTAATGTCATCGCAGTATCGCGCTGTCAGTAGAACAAATGAAGACTAAAGCGGAGTGTCGCGCTCTGTATACGATTTTAGCGCCTTACAAGTGCGGACACTTTTTAGCGCGGACCCGACTTCCATATAATTGTAAGTCAATGATTATACCTGAAATTTATGATATATCTCTGAAGATAAGAATTGTAACTAACGGCTTCGTTTTCAAGCTCATCATTTATGCATTTGAATTTTTTAATATTTTAGGGCCAGTACAGATTACCAGCGTTATTGCGTGCAAATAAACGAATTTTATCCATAAGTAACCGTAGACGTTCACCTGTCGTGCATACGTTTATCGCACGTCTAACTCTTGTCATCTGAACCGGCCTTTAAATTTCATCCACTGAGTGAAGGAAGGAGTTCTTTCCAATAGAAAAGTATCTCATTTTAATTCTTTGTAAAACAAATGTCCACTTTCTTAAAATTTAAGGTTAGGTATATACAGTACAGAGAGAATTAAAAAAATGACCAACGTAATCATCATAATTTGTTAAATCAGAATGGCGTATTTGGAGCTCCGTAATGCGCCAGTAACGCTGTCAACTCTGGTGGAGCTATCATCACGCCACTACTGGACCCAACTGGTACAGCAATTCTACGTGCTAGTGTTGGGGCTGAACATCCTCGGCAACCCTTACAGTATTATTGGGGACTTCTCGAGAGGCATCAAACAATTCTATGAGCCTTATTTGGTAAGTTGAAGGCCATCGTCACTACTGAACTAGCACCCAATGCTGGGTCCAATAGATTAGACCCAGTTGGTGCAGTTCTACGTGCTAAATGTAGTAATAGATATTTTTAATAAGTTCGCGTTAGGATAGAAAGTGAAAAGGATGGATATTATTGGAATATTCGCATAAATGTTTAGAACGATTGTGAATGGAGATGGCATGACAGAAGCAGTGAAATATCAGGTATATCAAGAAAATATAAGAACATAGGTTTTGCCTACCACCGTGCGATGTTCCCTAAGAATAGGCCAAAAGACTGACAGTGTTTTGTTCCTTCTCTTTACGATTGTGCTAACGCGTTAGAAAGCTGATTGTATTGTATAATTTTGAAATGATTGCAAAGATTTTTTTAAACTCTAAATAGGGCTCAATATCGACGCGTAAGCAAGACGACGTCGCATACAAACTAGGGTATGGTGCAGCGCGGCTGCTGGGTCATTGCGCATGCGGCGCTGCTACACCTGCCTCTGTATTTGACGACGTGCCGAAAAGGAGTCCCGCGAGGAGGAAACAAAGTATGTATTATAATCTTTACGCACTCTAATATGACGCATATCGATAAGTTAACGAAATCAATCACAAACCCCGCAGCAAATAAAACTTCGATTGATCCATTCAATATAATATACTCGTGGACTTTTTTAGAGGAACACTAAAAAAAGGTTGAATTATGATAACAACGGTCCAATGAACCACTGGTCACAAATACCAGAACGTTTAGTCGAAATCAAAAGACAATTGCAGACATTCTTTTTTCAAATTAATCGTTCTGTACCTAAGTGACCAGTGGTTCATACGAACATTGTATTCATTATTCAACCTTTATTTAGCGTTCCTCTAAATATATCCACGAGTGTAGGTATATTACTCAGTTTAGTTTTCCTCGATTGTCTGGCTAAGGTAGCCAGACAATCGAGGAAAACTAAACTAAAAAACTAAAGGTCGACATTAGTTCAAAGTTATCTATGTATCGTTTTTGATCTTGTGTTTGAGCAATAAAGTGTATTTCTATCTAGTATAATTTTAGTTTTAAATCACAATACATTAAAGGACCCAGCGTACATCAAGCGACGCATCATTGTTGCACACATACATTGGGACAATTTAAGTACAAATTTTTAAATAAGCAATAACTTACATCCTATTTAGCCAATAAGGTGCAACTGTCGCGTTTACTTGGTATGCGTGATGATGCATCTACACTAAGGCGAAGGCGTCAACCAACTTAGTGTAGGCACGTCGAAGGGAGTCGTTTGACGACCGTATTTCACTGCCGAAGTCATCCAAGTCGACTAGGTGTAGACTTTGGCAGGCGACTCCGTCGCCTTCGGCAAGCGACACTTGTCCAAACAAGCTTCAATGTGATTGCGGCCGCGTCCCACTACGATGCTCGTGTTGCGGGCAAGGGAGTACTTAGCTATTTGATCGGTTTGTTGGTCTGTCCCGGTGTGTAAACTTGTATTTATAAAGACGTGATGGTGATTATTGAGTAGGTGGCACTCGACTCGGTGTAAACAGCGCGTCGACAGCCCCGCCTTGTTGACACGGTGTAAACTCTGAGTCGTCTCCGTCTCCCTTGACAAGGTCAATTAATCTACCTAAAGCGGCAATCGACCCTATGTAAACGCCTTGATGGAGAAGCTGAATGATACTCGTGAAAACGTAACAATACGTGCTACACATCGTTTTGTGTGAATTTGAATGATTAAATATAATAATAATGACAAAGGCGGTGGGGTACCAAGCAACGATCTACCCTTCGCGATAATAGAGGACGACAAGCAGAACGCCGCGAGCGCAGCGCTGGCCCTCACCGGCCTCATTGCCAGGCCCACTTTTGGTGAGATGTGGATTGGTGTTGCATGTTGCACTGGAAAATATACTGTAGTTGATAGTTAAATAGTGATTCTGTGCTGCGATTTTTAAACATTTGGGATATCTGACATTTCCATAGTATACTTTCATGCACTTGTTTATCAAATTTGTTATTCGAAGATATCGATTGGCAATATTGTTGACTTGTTAATTACCCATTATATATCTTACTGCTGAACACGGGACTCTTCTCAGGAGAAGATTTGACTATAATTCATCACACTGGTCCTATGCGCTGTTGGGAAATTCAAAATGAAATAATCTTTGTTTCATAGATAAGCAAATTAAAATAAAAAATAAAATAAAAAGGTATTTATTTCTTCACAAAACATAAAGAACAAATACTTAAAAAACGAACAGAATAAAAAAAAACAATTGAGTGATGTGGACAAAAAGGTTAGACTCAGCATTGCTGATTTTTAGTCTTCACCTGGCTAGCTGTTCGCTTGCTGCACCAAGCTCATATGAGTGCTAATTTAAGGTAATATAAACTAATAGGAGTGTACACTAAGTAATAACCTATCTTTAGTAAAAACTAGTATTATGTTAAAATTTAATGGCTGTCCGTGTAAATTATATATATTTTTCATACATTTAACCAAAAATTTAAAATTTTGTGCTGCTAGGAGTTTTAATTGGGGACCAGTTGTTACTAGATTTTTGTACAGATAGGAGCCATTGCTTACATCGGTTTTTAAAAGTAAACAACGTTTTAGCGTGGAAGGTCATTCCAGCACTTACTCGCTGCGAAACGAAAGCTGCCCCTGTACAAAGTTAAACGAGGGAGAGTCAATAACTGAAGATGCGGGTACCGCATATATCAGACATTACCGCTGTATAACTGATCACTCCAGTTGAGTTTTTGGACTAGATATTTAGGAATTGACGAAACCCTCAAGGTATACACCAGACTGTTTAATTTTAAAATATATCTATGTCTCATATTTAATAAATTATAGGTATTTAAAAAGGGTGTAATATGAGATCCGGGTGGTACCTTGAAACAACAACTTATACAGGAGTTCTGAACCTTCTGAATTTTATCGGCAGTTTTGTTGTAAGACGTGGCCAATATACTAATCCTAATAATACTAATTAAACTAATAATACTAATTAAACTAATAATACTAATAAGTAATCCAATATTAACAATACTAGCGAATTTGATAATCTCATCTAACAACTTCACTGATGAATGGCCTTAATTTGTAAAGGTGCTTCAATGAAGCGTGACATTTCCCTATTTTGAACCCAACATGTTTTTCAAAACTTAGTGAACCATGAAGCAACAGACCTAGGTTAACTGTAGGAGCCTCATTGATCCGCTGTCCTCTTACCATCACTACGGGATTAGCTGTTCTAAGTACCTCTATTTGTTTACGAGTACCCAATATAGTATAAGAACATTTTTGAGCATTAAGGAGAAGATCGTTTTTATGCGACCATTGCACTATGTTATCGAGATCCTGATTGAGTAAATATCACTTTTACAAAATTACACTTGAAATCGTCAAGTTTGATTAACTCTACTACTCATTCGTAAGGCAGATTCCTCTAAGAAGAATGAGCAAGAAACTATAGGACTTTTCTTTGTAAATAAACATTCGTGGATACATATTTATCATTCACAATATTTGTTTCAAATATCACACGGACGCAATGTGTATAATAATAAATGTCTATTACAAAATGGCTTGGACCTGGGAGCGTCCAAACTCTAAATCTGGCCCTGAATATATTGCAAATATCACACGGACGCAATGTGTATAATAATAAATGTCTATTAAAAAATGGCTTGGACCTGGGAGCGTCCAAACTCTAAATCTGGCCCTGAATATATTGCTAAACATTAATAAATGTACGTAATTTATAACAAACTACTATTATAACAAACTAGTGGAGTAATTTCACAAAAAATAATTGTATATCTATTCAATAAAAATTTAATTAATACAGTGAATAGCGACATCTCTCGCCAGGACTGGTAGCTGTAAATGTACTAACTGGGTGATAAATCTGCCAAAGATTTCTCATAGACGGCGCTACGACTAAAAAGTCGTTGAAAAACCAAGTACAAAGACACGACGCAAGCACATAGAAGAATTCGTGAGGTCCGTTGGTTCGTTCCGTGGCTTAGTTGGTATAGCGTCTGGCACGGTATGCAAGAAGACGTCGGTTCGAATCCGACCGGATCGAAGGAATTTTTTCTGAGTGTTCGATCTTTGTATTAATAATTATAACAAACTAGTGGAGTAATTTCACAAAAAATAATTGTATATCAATTCAATAAAAATTTAATTAAATGTACGTAACTTAAAAATTAAAACTTTAGCACCATGCCGCTCATCAAATTTCTTATCATTGATAGCAGTAGAGCTCCTTGTGAAAGAGTTAGTCCAGGGGAATACTGCCACTTTACCTATTACTGCTGTCAAGCAGTAATGTGAGGATTACTGCCTTCCGGTTTTGAATGATAGGGGTGCTGGTGAAATGACAGGCACATGGGACTTGTCAAGCAAGTTTCAGGGTGACGGGCGCAGTGGCAGTGCTCCTCCAATCTTTGAGGTTTAAAGCTCTGAAAAAAACTTCGAGTTAGGAAAAAATAAATAAAGCTAAATCTGAATTAGATAATATTTCGGTTTTTATCTACGAATATGCTTGTCTCTTGATCATAGAAAGAAATGTCAGTTATTCTAGAATTGTTAAATAAGTACCATGCCACACCTATGGTGTAATAAGGCCACATCTGCATAATGATAACTTTTTAGAAGAGATTCTATGAATTAAACATGACATTATAAAATTTTTCTTCTCCTTGCAGTCATAGTCGGTAATGAGAAAAAAAAAGACCCGAGGGTTTTATTTGGGGCACCATATAGTCAAGTTAGTTTGCATACAATCACACTTTTTACATGCATAAATGATGAAAAACATTGTATGTTTCACGGAAGGTACGGGAATTACGAACCTCGACTCCGAAAGCCCTCAGTCTTCGACATAGGGCTTCTATTAGAGTCTCGTTCATAAGTCCTTATTTACCGCCCTTTATACATAATGTACTATAACAATTATACCTACATAATTTAAGTCATGTATTTCGTATTGTTTTTAAACTTTGATGTGGTAAAAGCTCTTATAACGTATGATCACAATTTATATATGTGGTTTTATTATAGCAAAGGTGCGATATAGTTAGAAAAAAAACAAACTAACTGGCTTATTGGATCGCTGCCCGCAGTGTCGAATTGATCATTTTTGTTGGTAGTCCTAATTCTGCTACATTGCACGTCTTTCTGCATCGCCGTTGTATGGACACCAGCACGTTGGCCTTTTCGCTTTGAACTGCCTTATCGTTAATAGCATAAAGTTAAATTTAAACCTTAAGTGTGAAGGCACACGTGTTAGGGAATAACCACACATATTAACGCGTGGTGTCCCTCTTACTGTCCGTAGTCTTAGCACGATGCTTAGTATACCTTGTTATTATTTCCGGCATGCTTCTGATACCAGCACGTCTTTCTAATAGCTTTCTTTTAATTTAGCTTTTGTTTTAAACCTTCCATTGGTCTAGCTAATGTCTATTAGACGAACAAAGCCTCATCTTTTAAAATATCATAAATATTTTTTAAATTTTCTTTACTTTTTTTAAATTGACAGAGGGGTTATAGATTTTTTAAGCTAAAATTTTTAAACTTTGAGTCATCATCATATACAGCCTAACTTCACCCACTTTGGTTATTTATGTTTAAATTCTGATATACGCGCACAGCGTTTAAAATATCACAAAAAGTAACAAAAGAACAGTTAAAAAGAACACAAAAATTGACGAAATAATTATCACATTTGCTTGCGATATTTTTCTACGCTGCAAGGCGCGTTTGGTCTTTCATATTTTTTCTATTTTCATTAAGGAATAGTCAATGGTAGTGAAATCATACCTTTGTTTGACTGTAATAGATGATTGTTTATTTTACAAATGAAAGATAAAGCTAAGTCTAAAAATACATTATTTACTACACTAATTTGTTTCTTATTTATTTGTGCACTTTTTGTGTTAGAAAAGAACACTTAAGACACGTTTTAGACACTAACAAATGCGCTACTATTCGTACCGCTATTGGTCTTTTCATTGGTATCCTTGATGCCACTGTTGACTTTACAATCGGTACCACTATTGGTCTAACAATTAGTAACCACTATCTATACCACAATTGGTCTCAACATTACTACCATTATTGGTCGCAGCATTAAACTTAGCTTTATCAATCCGTAGTGCGATGTTTAATGTGTCTAACGTTGTTTCTATTTGCATCGCGGACAGACGACGAGTCTATAGTCGTGCGAAGTGAGTATTCTATTGCATGATTAATTCATATTTAATATTTGACTGCATTCCAAAAGGAATTGTGGAGATTTACCGAGACATTCTCACTGTGATAGAGATATATCTATTTGATGCGTTCGTTGTGGACCTTGTGCAAATACATTTAAATAACAGGGCCAAGCAGCGAACTGACAGTTATTTTTTTGTTGTAAATTAAAAATAAATATTATATATGTAATAAAATTAAATAAAAGCGTTGTAATGATTCATGACGTAATATTGAACAGGAAAGACAACAAAGTATTTTATCAGTTTTTGGTGCATCCCAGAGTGCAACCAGAACATCTTATGCAAACATGATTCTTATCAATAACTATACAATTGTTGAATTTTAAACGCTTACTTCAAGATTGAACTTTTATTGAAAGTGTTTGTTGAATTGACTCGAGTATCACCAATTTAAAAAATTAAAAATGGCAACACTGTCAACGGCGATCGAAGGGGTATTCCCGGTCATTCGCGCTTTTGCAATAACATATGTCTGAATGGTCATAGGTTTAATTCTGTCTTGTAATGAAAGTAAAATATTTAAACTTTGAATATCTCCATTCTCGAATTCAGTCATTATTGCTTGTTTAGGAAACACAATATTTGAAAGCACATACCTATTTGTATTCCCTAAAACCTGAAACTTATTTTTCTTTCTGGAATGTTGCATGGCACGTAACTCTTGCAGTTCTAGAAATTTAGAAGAAAAAGTAATGCGGTTTGGAGGTTGCACACGTGTCTCAAGTATTTTGTCAACCTTTTCCGATATTTAGGTTTCATCACCAAGTTTTCACCGTTAATTTAACTAAACATTCGAAAGGAGTAATTTATTGGGCGGAATAGAAACCAACTTTCTTACGTGAAAGGAAAGTGTTCTTCAAACTAGATAATGACTTATTTTTTCATATTCGACTAGAAAAATAAGGAGTCTGTTAATAAATATATAGTGTAGTCCAGATCCGTGAATCATATAAGTAAATATTAACAATGGAATTATGCAAGAAATCTAAACACGGTTACTATTAAACTTGTATTGTATATGGTGGTTAAAATTTGCGGGTAAGTAATTATTGGGGATTAGAATAGACAATATATTTACCTAAATTCAAGGAATAATTTAAAAAAAAGTAATATTTGGATATTTTTAGTGGAGCGCTAAAAAAAGGTTGAATTATGATAACAGTGCTCATATGAACCACTGGCCACATATACAAGATGTTTAATTTGAAAAAAGAATTACTTCAATCATCTTTTGCTTTCGATCCATAGATACCAAAACGTTTAATCGAAATCTTTATTTTTTCAAATTAAACGTTCTGGTATATCTGGCCAGTGATTCATATGAACGTTTGTATCATAATTCAACCTTGATTTAGCGTTCCTCCAAATACGTCCATGAGTATAATTATACTTGTACTTATAAAACCTTTATTTTCGCAAACACAACCGTAGTAAAGTAATTGCTACTTATAGTCATATAGAACGAAATATCTGGAATTTCAAAGGGAAGTTTTATTCACAATTTCCTCAGAGGAAAACATACCTACTCTTGTTGTATGAATATAACTTTTTAATACTTTTTAACAACGTCATCAGATCTTTGTCGTGAAGCAGCAAGAGCTGCGTTGACTCGACAACTTGGAGCAGACAGTGCGAAAAACGCGCTAAGGTCTTGCGTCGAACGTAGCGGTGGTCGATTGGTCGCCAGGAAACGTCTGCCGCGGCACTGCCCTGCAGCTGAGGTAAGTCAACTGCGGTATACAAACTGATTTGTAGATTCGGGCGTTATTTTGCGAAAATCCATATTAATGAAAACGGGACGAATAAGTCGTGAGCCTAGTGTAAGCAACACGCCTGAAGGTGACAAGTCTCATGCGCCTGTAATTTTACCAGCACCCTTACCTTTCAAAACCGGAACACAGTAATGTTGACATTACTGCTTGGCGGCAGAAATAGGCAAGGTGGCAGTATCTCCTTGGATGAACTCTTTCACAAGGAGCTCTACTGCTACTAAACTTGTTGCTATGCGAACTGACATACACGCCTCTTTCCCATAAGGGTAGGCAGAGACAACAGACCATCCTAAAGAAGGGCCAGGTCAAGAGTAGGTACCCTTAACTGACGAGCGTGTATGAAAGCATTGATGCGTGTTGATAGGGGTTGAGATGCGTTTGTGTTGTTTTTTTTCTTTATGCAGTAAACTTAGCCAACCTCCCTACATACAAAATAAATAACACGAACGGAACCACTGTCACATCCACCACCAATAATATTACTCAACGAACTGGTAGATAGATGCTAAAACAGATTTTTTTTTTCGTAAGGAAAGTAAAAAGCATCGAAAATTAGACAATCCTCTTGGATATAATATCTAATGAACTATAAAACCGCCTCAATTTAACAGCAGCAGAACTCTGTCGTCTATGGCAGCAACGTGATCATTGCTGGCCACCGATTTTGAAGGAGTACTTTGCCTCAAAATGACAGGTGCAATGGCACTGCCCTTCAGATGGTTGTGATTTAAAGTTCTCAGTGGCACTGCAACTGTTACGGATAGACGTGTCTCTTACCATTAGGCGCACTACTTGTTCATCTCGTCCATTGAAATTATAAAAAAAAACTTCATCTGGTGGTCATTTGCGATCACGTCGCGTGAAAGAATCTTTTTGACTATTTGCTATGACAACTTTATAAAGAACTATATCCAATTGTTTTTGTTCTTGTGATTTTTCTCAGGTGAATCTATTTTAATAATTTCTTTTATTCATCTAGGGTATCCGGCCGTATTCCCAGCACGCAGCCCTTGGCGTCCAGCTGTTAAACCTGCTTGGACGAGGACATTACGCCGACACGGACGCCTATCTCGCGCACGCGCATCTCGGCAACAACAACACTCTACTTCTATCTACACAGTAAGTATACTTATACGACATAACTTATGACAATCTCGGTGACCCAACGATTTGCACCGTGGGCTCTGGACGACGTGGTCCCAGGTTCGATTCCCGGTAGGACCTGACCTATTTGGGAAATAAACTTTTCTAAATTCTCAGCGACGCAATAATCTCAGGGACAATGCAACTGCGCCCGTCACCCTGAGACATATATTGATAAGTCTCATGTACCTACCTGTAATTTCACCAAGACCCTTACCCTTCAAAACCGGAAAGCAGTAATGCTCACATTACCGCGGCAGAAATAGGTAAAGTGGCAGTATTTCCCTGGACAAACTCTTTCACAAGGAGGTTTACTGTTACTAAAACGACTACTAGTTCTGGTCTGGGTGTTCAGAATAGAGTCTTGGAGGTAAGTCCGTAGTTCTGGTACTAATTAATTATAGACTCATGTGGTTTGGTAATGGCGTAAAGTGAGTTTGAAGGACTCTATTTGTGATCTCAGGCATATCTTCATGGTGCGCTCCGGCGGGTCGCACAGTTCGTGGCACGCCGAGTGGTCGGTGAAGCTGGACGACCTGATCGGCGTGCCGGCCATTCGTGATGGGAAGCTCGTGCTTAACATCAAACAGGTACATTATAAAGGCTGTTGGGTAATTTTCCTTAAATTTCAAATAGTGGAAATTTTTACGGAAAACTTTTTGAGAAGTTGGCAAAATTTGAAATACTGGAAAAATATAATTTCGAGGGCTAATATTATTTTCTACGTTTACAAATATCTTTTGAATGTTTATTTCGCGTGAATTATTAAATAAACTTGTATAGCTAAACGCCACTAAAAAGAGATTTAAAATGATTTCATAACAGCGAAAAATCCTTTGTAATGGCTCTATTGATTTCGTTCAGCAACTTCAACTTTTGACAGGTGTCAATGACAAATGTAGATTAACTGACTCCGTGGCCGAACGGTTACCATTCTGGACTGCTACGCAGAGGTCCCGGGTTCGAATTTCGGGCCGGGAGAAATATTTGTATGGCCTACATTTATTTCTCTTGTGAGTTCGGGTGTAATATGCGTTTTCTATGTGTGTGTCCATGGCACTCGCGACACCGTGTTTCACTAGTGCGGGGCTAGGAGTGTTTGCGAAAATAATGACCACTTAATACTGAAAAGTGTATTACAACAAAAAATTACATTAAAATGGAAGTAAATAAATTTACTACTTCACGAACCCGAGGACGGTTAAATTGTGCAAAACAGCTGTGCTTTTGTTCAGTATTTTCTCATATAGTTTATTTTCTCACTTTCGCATAAAATTAAGATTCTACGTTTTCCCAATTGAGGGGACAATAGAGTTAGAATAGAAAGGGAGGAAGACCAACAATGGAGGACAGCGAACAAATAAAAAAGAACATCAAAGTGCGCAGCTATAACCTCTAGGCCTCTGTCAAGGAACTGCATATGAACCGTGAGGAGTGGAGGAGGCTACACGGACAAGAGTCTGGCTCTTAAATAAGATGATGATGGTTTACCCTACACCCCACCACACCCACTACCATCGTTATACTTTAAAAATACTCCCAATAAAGGTGATGACGCAACATTCAATTGTTTATTTATTATCAATCAATACTCTCAGAGGTAACCCTTTTGAGCAAAAATGTATATTTAAAACATTGACTTACAAATAAATGGACGACGGGTCTAATACAAAAACCACGAAAAAAATGTCCCAAGTCAACCTATTCGAAATTTAAATTGTTATGTCATCGCAGTATCGCGCTGTCAGTAGAACAAATGAAGACTAAAGCGGAGTTTGGCGCTCTGTATACGATTTTAGCGCCTTACAAGTGCGGACACTTTTTAGCGCGGACCCGACGTCCATATAATTGTAAGTCAATGATTTAAAATATAATATTTGTTTTAAATTTTTATTGAATTGATATTCAATTATTTTTGTGAAATTACTCCACTAGTTTGTTATAATTATTAATACAAAGATCGAACACTCAGGAAAAAATCCTTCGATCCGACGTCTTCTAGCATACCGTGTCGGACACTATACCGACTAAGCCACGGAACGAACCAGCGGACCTCACGAATTTTTCTATGTGCTTGTTGTCGTGTCTTTGTATTTGGTTTTTCAATGACTTTTTGGTCGTAGCGCCATCTATGAGAAATCCATGAAAGTTTTATCACCCAGTTAGATACCTTTGCAGCTACCATCCCTGGCGAGAGACAATAATATTTGTTATTTAAAAATTAGTTATTTTAAGGTAACATTTTTCAATTCTAATTATATGTGACTACTTAACACAAACTAGTCAACAATAACGTATTGTATTGTCTAGAAGATTAAAGAAGTAAAAACAAATGCAGATGAAATCCTAGGCCGGTGTGGTGTAATATCACGTAGCCAGACCACTAATAGACCATATTACCTATACATATTATCTATACATGCTGCTAGTATATAATAATGCAACAGTTCATATAATAGGAATGGAACGTGAAGTGAGTCAGATGATGCATGAGTAAGATAAAGACAGCAATATTATCTTTTTAAGATTTGTACTTCGAAATTCGTTTGCTATGGTAAATAAATTGAGCTTTATTAAATAAAAAGAGTCAAAGGCAAAGTCAAATAAGCATTTATTCCATAGGTAAAATTTTTACTCTAGAAAACGTCATTTTTTAAGCTACTGCTCGTTCACTACGCTGATCTCCTTGAGAAGAACGGGCAAAAAACTCTAGGGATTTTTTTTGTTCTTTTCAAATAAACTTAAATGCTATGGAATACACTTTGAATCATTTTTGTTGTTTTTCCATACATCTTTATCCAACACAGTCATACTCTTCAATTTTGTAATATGACTTTTCAATTAAAATACTTTTAATGTAAGTTTTGAACTTAGGAAATGATAATCTTAACATATTCTCCGGAATCTTATTGTAAGAAAATAAAAAAATTTGTCTTCTATTACTCGTACGTATGCATCATTCTAGTCTTTAATTTTCAGGACGAGCTGGTAAACTATTTCTCAACGGACGAGAAAACCATCGAAGTTGGCGATCCAGAGGTGCTGGCGTGGTTGCAGGCGAAGATCGAATGCGCTCTTATAGTCGCTTTGGAAGACAAGCGCGTACCGCAATAAAGGTCACTTGATTCATTGTTAAGAATATTGGTATGAGCCACTTCTTGCTTCTGAACGAAAGCTGTTTACTAAAATCTATAAAATTTTCTATGATTTCATCGGAAATTAAAATACTGTAACAAGTTTATTATGAGTGTTGCTACATTCAGTTCGTTCCGTCGCGCACCGTTAGATGGCATTAGTTGTAATCAGAAAACACGCTATCGTTCTTTCGTTCAAATTTTGTATGATCAATGCTTTCAACTACTAGTATCAGTGTCAGGTACTGAATGGCTCGCTGTTTAGAGTAGCGATGGGACTAGTTGCTTTTTTTTTTCAACTCGAGTTACTCGAGTTGACGTGACTGTTGGCTCGAGTTGCAACTCGAGTTGCAACTCGAGTTGCAACTCGAGTTAACTCGACTCGGTGTCTGACAGAGCAACCGCGGTCGCGAGTAAAACTCGAACCGACGATTCACCAAGTTGGACACGATCGACCGGCCGACCACGACTCGAGCACGCTCTAACTAAAATAAAACGCTAAGTAACTAAAACACTTGTGTTATGGAAATTGGAAACAACGACGGTACCACTGATACCCAGACACGAGACAATATAGAAGTTAGTTTTCTACATTGACCCGATCAGACTCATAGATGGCGACACTATGAAAACCGGTGTGCAAGCTAGGGATGCACGATTTTTTGCTTTGAATCGATTTTTTTTTATCGTATTGGATCATATGCCTCTGAATTGAGTCGATCTCATAAAAATCGTTTCAAAATTTGTAATAAATAAAACGCCATTATTACATGATTTAATTGCTATAATAATTTGTAATTTTTTTTTGCTTTTACAGATGCCAATCCTTTACATCTAATTAAACTTTTCAATAATAATGTTATATAACTTAATGTTCAAAGCTGTTTTTCTACTTGACGAAATATTAATAAGTGGAGACTCTTTTAAATTATGATTACGATCAAACGATTCAATTCGCCTTGAATTTAATCGTTTGCATGGTTTTGAATCGATTGGCTTATAAATCACATTGAAATGAATCGATTCAAAGATTCGTATGCAAATTAATAGATCTTCATAAAAATCGAATTGCAATGTGCAACCCTAGTGCAAGCCACTCGATCAAAACCTTTTCTTGTTTTAAAGAGGTTGGTATTTCCACTAGCACTGTACCAATATTCCTAACAAGATATCATATCAGTATTCGACGCTAAACTACGAAATTAAGCAAAACCTACAGGAATATAACTTAAGCTGTTACAAACATTGCATATAAATGTAATTAGTTATGTAATAACGTACGTTATATATTTGTTTTTACATATTTATAAATAAAGAAATTGTGTTGTAAAAGTTTTGCATATATAAAATGTAAAAAAAATGTCGAGGGGCGGTAGATACTAACAATGTTTAAAAAAATTGTAGAATAGAATGCTTAGGTTTTTGCGACTGCTACATATTGGAAATGAAATTTTCTTATTTCTAACAAAACCGACGTTTCAGTCCGTTTACAGGTCCCATAGTCACAGATGTTTGAAAAAACAAATACGTATAAGCAAATTGTTTTTTGTAAGGGCAATTTATAATCTAGTCAATTTTGAGTACGATTCTATAATGTGTTTTTTCTTTGTTTCATTTCGTTAATTTTGTTATGGTTAAGAATTAAAATTTAGACAGTATCGACGCCACTGTCTTTAAACAAGTTACGCATTTGAGCTACACATAAAGCAACATGTTGCATGTCTGCTGCTGCCTTTAGTTATTAATCAAGAACATAAATGTTATAGTTAAGTATATTTATTGAATGCCTAAGTGTTATTTGATTTAAAAATTGATCTCGATGTGAGATTCTCACAACGTATTTATTATGTATTAAAATATTAGTTTTTAAAAAACATTGTGACTCAATTTATTTGAATATAAAAAAAGAAACATTTGAAACATGGAAATCGCTACAAAAAATTTAAACGCACAATTGTTTACGCTAAAATTACAGACGAATTTGAAAAGCAGATTCTACACCTGAGCTTTTCACAAAAGATCTGTGATCAATTGGAATTCTGAAATAAATTTTACTGATCATTACAATTGTGTTTAGGTAAACATCTTTCACAAGTTTCAATGGGCTCGTTTTATTATAATTTTATCACTTACCTATTTAGTTCGTCTATCACGGCGACACGCGACACTACTTTAGTGGCGCATTGTCTTAATTGAGTGGCGTACGACATCATACGAGGAATTCCCTAGTTTGAAACCGAGTAACTGGTGCGATTTTTTACATTATAATGATTAATACTGCTCACTTGTTAATAAATGCATGTTGGTTAATACTTCTAACATGTTTATTAATATATTAACATGTTGGCTAATATTGCTAACATGTTGAATATTATTATAAATATGTTGGCGAATACGGCTAACATGTCTGCAGGAAAATGTTTATTTTTTCGTCGTATAACGTATTTTTGGAACGAATGAAGCTTACGCAGAATATAGTGCAAAAGGCAGACATTGAACCATGTGCGGGAATTGTACCGTTCGCACGTGGTTACATTGTTATAAACGTCACAATCTACCACACGCACATGGTACAGTGTACTTTATGTAGTAACAACTGGGTTTGTTTAAAATATGGAAATGTACGCAATATTGATATCTGAATTTGTACTACACGAAACTGCTGGCGTAGGCCGTTATAAAAATTAACGAATCAACAGTGCAATTCGAGATATTGCCTCGTAGTTTAAATATTGAATGTTAAATATCATAATTTGGTAATCGTATTTATATATCAGTGTTAAATGTATTATCATATGGTATTATTTAATGTATTCGGTGTCTATATGTTTTATGTAATAACTTTGATTAGAAAAACCGGAGCTTAGGTGGACTGTTTAAACATGTGAAAAGTGAGGAGCTGTTTATATTTATTTCTCGACAGTGGGCCCAAACTGATAATTCGGAAAATGATTGGAATAGTACTGTTAGGAAGTCACGCACATTACATTTTTGAGGTAAGAAACGAAATATATGTTTTTCCATATTTAGAAAAACTACCAACATAAAAGTGACACGAGAATAAAAGTTGTCAGTATTGTCATTGTTTATCATATAAAAAAAATCAGGTCAGTTTTCCACTCGACATTCCTATGCCCACGAATTATCAGTTTTGACTTACTGTGCGTGGTCATGTTGCGGAGATTAAAAGAAGTAATCACGTTTAAAATTAACATGGTTTTTGACGTCACGTTTATCATTTAAAAAATATCTCGGATAATACAAATTTTAAAAAGTCAAATAGATCACTGTTATAGATTTTAGTAGGTAAATTTTTATTTCATCACGCTTTAAATCTCTAAAAGACAAATTTTGAATATTATTACAAATTAAAGGACACATTTTCAAGATCCAAAATGTGTTAGCATTATTAAAAAAAAAGAATAAAAATGTCTTATAGTTTATTGCCCAACCAATTTTTTTTTCAGTTACATATAAACCAGTACTGCATTGTTCTAATTAATCTATAGGTATGGAGCTTGGCAATTAAGATTTAAATTCAACTTTATACGCTTACAATAACAATGGCCCGAACTTCTGTTGTTGGGCTTTCCCTAGATAGACCGAAAAGAAAATCGCTTTTGTAATGACTTGTTTGAAAGGATAAACATCGAGTAGGTAATTTGTAGATGAACATATTTGAAAGCTCGCCATAATAAATTGAAAATTGATATAACAATACGAGCTTTTGTATTTCTAATCAAGGCTTGTTAGTTAAGATTGTCCAAGACAACTGTTTTGCTGTGTAGCATAGGTAGACCTATCAAATCGATGTCTGTAAGTTTAACTTAATACCTATTACGTATTTCACCGTTGAGTTTTTGATTACACAAGTTATCTATACATAGCACTTGTAGTTATAAGAAAGGGCATACTGAAAAACTTGTTTCTAAACTGTTAATTGTTGTTGTTGAACTTGTGACGTTCAAATGAGAATATTCAGAAATGTTATGCAGATGATACGACTTTAACTTTTACAGGTATGAATTGTGACGAAACATATCGGTCTACACAGTCTGGATTTAATATTGTCAAGAAATGGCTGGATAACAATTTACTTACGTTAAATGTAGAGAAGATAAAAGTTATAACCTTTTTCCATCCGCAACTGGGCTATTGTACAGAATGCTACATATCAGATTGCTGTTGATCCTGGTTCTCCTCATTCAACTACCCCAACCTTTCTGAATACTGCAGATACTATTAAGTATCTTCGGGTACTGCTTGACTCCAACTTAAATTTTAAATCTCACATAACCTTATTGTTACGGCATGTATACGTAAACTTATTTTCATATTCAAGCAACTTCGCCATGTAGAAGGGATGCTAATATTATGAAAATGGTGTATCTTCACTTGGCCAGTCAGTTTTAACCAATTGTATCTCTACATGGGGAGGACCTGCGAAATCCTTTCTCACATCTGCTGAACGTGCGCAAGAGCAATTCTTAAGGTTGCTTGTTTTAAGCCATATCGTTTTCCTACTCTGGAATTTTATACTTTTTGTCAAGTCCTCACTGTCAGGCACCTGTTTATTCTCCACACTGTGTTAATGCATGTTGCATCACACATGCAATCACACCTTACAATAGCGCACTCCGCGAGGCGAAATCATCTAGTCGCTACTGGCATTCATCTCAAAACTGGTTTTAGTCATAGGTTCTTCTGTTTCCTTGGACGCTATCTTTATAATAAGCTCCAAGATAGGCTGAAAATTTATGAACTGAATACACACATACTCACACACACACACACACGTACGCACATGCATCTACTTCTCACGCTAATAATAAGTAGGTACTATCTAGTCTTAGTTTATATAGTTAAATTTTTAGTTTTTATTATTTTTTTAGTTTTTATTTTTATGGTTTTTACTTATTTTAACAAATTTAATCATCTACTCACTTACTCCTTATTACTTTAATTAAATGTCATTATTCAAGGGATGGGGCCTGGTGACTTGGTGAAATACCTACATCAAGCACCAGCTCCCACAATATACTACTGTAACGTACCTACTAAGATTTATACTATGTTGTATTTTGTGGTGAGAAATAAACATTTATTATTATTATTATTAGAAGTTTAAAGTCTTTTTGTTTTGTTTTTTCCGTACAGTTGGTGTTTTGGTAATACACGTTTATTCGGTGGGCTCTTTGTTTAGTCAGCATTCCCTCTTATGCTACAAGTGCTTTGTTCTGTTGCTTGTACTTCTTTTTTTCAATTTTCAAGGATTTTCATAAAAGAGCTAAGTATTTATTAACTAGTCAACATTTATTTATAAAATTAGTATGTAAAAATTATTTGCTACA